TCTTTCTTTTTATGTTCAAGCTGTGAAAAGAAGAAAAAAACATAAGGAGAGAACCATTTGATGGAAGATAAGAAAAAGAAAAAACAAGAAGAGAAGAAAAAGAAAGACGCTGCTCAGAAAAAGGTAAGCTTTTTTTAATTGGGCAATTTGCTTTGAAACACATGCTCTGTCATGATTTAGATTTTGCTCTTTCCCTTCAATAAAAGTCATCCTGATATGACGATTGGAGGCCGGGTTCAGTGCAGGGTCATGTATGGTCACTGCACGTCTACTTCCGCTCCCTTTGGCCACTTTTTGATAAGGCTGCTGTAATTAAAGCTTCACTTTTTGAAAACCAAGTAGAATTTCTTCAGTAAGAATATGGAGTTTTAGTGGTGAAGATGTATATTTTACACTGACGGTGGGATCACAGGACACATTTCATGAGCATACGTTGTTGAGATTTCTATCTGTTATTATAGCTCCACAACTTGAGCAGGCGCTGTCGCTGCAGTTCTATTAGATCTGACGTGAGCACACCCAGTACCTGACTTTTATCAGGTTTCCTCAAGACACAGCTTTACATAGTCCTCATCCTTGCTGTGCCTTCTTCTACGCGATCCTCACTTTATCGGTCAGTGTTTTTAACGGGGCTATATCGCCTCCATCCTTGATCCTTTGCGTCAGCACTGGTGAAGGTTTGTGTTTTTGTTTTGGGAGCTATTTTCGTCCACTTTGGATAAAATCCAGGAAACTCTATTCCCCCCCTACGAGCAATAAGAATGAACATGAATCTTTTTTTGGAATGAAAACAAGATAAAACTTAGAGTACATTTTAAAGACTCGTAAATCATTTCTGTTGCTAATTTTTGTTTTTCTTTCTCCTGCATTTTTAGGCAACCGAACAGATAACCAAAGGTAAGTTGTGACTAATGATTTTGAAACTGTATATTCTCCATTTTACTTTTCATTATTTTGTAACGTATATACCTTCGTCTTTGTGGGTAAAAGGCTTCTTGATCTTTCTGTGGAAGTTTTGTTCAGGCAAAGTGATTCTCTACAAGGTTTGCCTATTCGGGGTTTGTGGTATGTTTTAGAACAGGAAAGAGGTTGACTGTCTGTGTGAGGGTGAGAAATTGTATATTGGCCTATTTAGATGGCTATAACTTGATAAGCTGGAGCAGCCTGAGTTTGATCTGCTAACAGCTGCGTGGGGATAGAAACCATTAGATTTAGTTAAAGGGAAACATTTTTAACTGAAAACATTAGCAGAAGCCAGGTGGTCTTAACCACCTGAGCTGGTTCCCATATAAGAATAATAAGGAGTATGGGGAAGGTGCAGCTGCTCCTCAGACCTCCCTCTGGGGCTTCTCAGGCTGCCCTTGGAGGGAAGAGGTGAGAAAGAATCTCAGAAGAAAAGAGAGCCAACAGCTAACAAACAAACCTGAGAAAGATGAATGCAAAATTGCCCTCTCTTGTGGAAAGTGGGCTTTGTTTTCAGGCTTTGATCTCCTGCTCTATTACAGCTACACCCATCTTTTTGCCATCCCTGGACAGTGCTCTTAATGACCCCAGAAGCGGTGTGGGTCAGTGTGTTAGCCTGGGAGTTGATCTGTTTATTTGAACGAGCAAGCAGAATTTTCTTTGGTTTATATTTCTAAATTTAGTAACAGTGATTCCAACTGCAGTAGATGCCCAAGTACATGCCTGCCAGTGTTTCTGCATCCAAAGTTGTGTTCAGACCATTTTTTATTTTCCGTGGCCAAATGTATCCAAATTCTTGTCAAAAGCAGGAATGACTCGTACTGTCCTTATGCAGCTGTGAACTCTGAGCTGTGAACGATCAGCTCCTTGACCTCCAACTCCCTGACCTCCCCCTCCCTCCGTGAAGCATGAGCTAATGGGACTATAATATCACAGACATGCTCCCTCTCACCCGTAACAACCTTGTGTCATACGGGGCTTTAATATGCCCAGTTAATCCCATTTATTTTGGATATAAGATGTGCAGCACAATATTGATAAGATGGTGCTGGATGGGTGTTGTATAGTCAGACAGATAAAGCTCTAACAGTCACATCGTTTGGACTTAAGAAATTTAACAACACACTCTGTGAAATTCCTCTAAATGGAACATCGAATGTCTAATTAACTATTGTTCACCACTATTGTTCATGTCTGTCCTGGCTTTCAGTGTATTTGTTGTTCAGCTGCCATTAGGGTAATGGAGAGCAGTTACCTGTCTGAAAGGGGCTGTTGTTTGTTAGCTGAATACAGTTTTGCGTCAATGTTTTATAATCCCGCTCACACTGTATTTCTGACAATTACCACCCACTTTCGGTTTATTTATACTATACCTCATTGATTTATTTTTTTCTCGTGTTAAACACAATCACAACTCAGAGAGTCTGTGGGGTTTTTTTTATGTGTGTCTTTAGGACCACCCGCTGCTGTGTGATTTGTTTCTGGTTCTCCACTGAGTCCAACATCCAGTGAGACCAGTGACATCTGAACCAGTTAAAGCTCATCCACTGATCAGTTGTTGGGTTAAGTAAAACCCTATTAGCCAGATATGCATAGAGATGTCTTAAAGTGAAGAGCCTAAAGAGTCAATCTGACAACAACAGTTTGCATGTCTGTGTTATTTTTGGTACAATAAGTTTTTATTGACTGATAAACTGAAAGATGCAGATTGGCTATGATCCTAACATACGGTACTTTGGGACCTAATTAAGAGAAGGGCTGGTGTTGGGGCTGAATAAACATGCAGCCATACGCAAGACATTTCCAGGAAGACCCTAAGCATCATAGTAACACTACACCACCTCCCATCACGTCCAGAAGAGAGTCCCACCATGGGACCAGAGGAGCACAGCAAAAGGTGAACTAGAAGGAATGAAATGGAATGAATTGTTATGGTTACTTCTGTGCGAAGAGCAAGGGGGGGTGTGCTGAAATATGGGGCCTCGGTTTGATTTGAGAGAGAGCTCGAAAACTGAGCGAGAGCAAAAGAAACAGACGGAGCCACGTGAAACTGTTAGATTGCACTCCAGTTTCCTGTTTGCCGACACAGCTGAGGGGGCCCTTTGTAGGTTGTTTCTACTGGCCCATTTCTGTGAGACACGCACGCAAACACACACACACTCCCTCTCCCTGTCCCCTCATGTAACAGTCAAACACCAGCTGCACATTGTATGTACTTTTCATGTCTGCACAAACACACAACTGCCGCTTTGCTCATATGAAATGTTGCAGTGGCAATCAGAAATGCTGCCCAGTGACTATGTAAGAAAAAAAACAGTGATTTTTATCTACAAATATTCTTCCTCAGTTCACATGTAGGCTTTTCAGTGAGCACAGCCTTTGGTTTCTGTAGTGGACAGCTGCCCAATGACCTCTGATGCAGACTAAACAAGTGAAAAGGAGTACGTCCTTCTCTTTAAAGTAGTTTATTGTGATATAAAAGTAAAGGATTTACAAAGGTTGATGTGTGATTTTGGGCATGATACAATTTCAGACACCACTATTAAATCCATCTGCCTATTATGAACTGCTAAGTAAGTGAATTTATGAGAAAGCCATGTGTATGGAAACATGGTTACATGTCTGCTTGAGTGAAAACAGGTGGTTTGAATTCCCTGCTTCAGTAGTGAGAGAAATGTGGAGCACTCAGCAACTGTCCTCCTGACAGTAGCTCAAAGATAGGTTTTTCCATTGTGTTTGTCTAATATTCATTAGTCATAAAATGTGAGGTTTGGCATGACTGTTTTTTTCCTCTGAGCTCATAATATTGCGTGTCACTGATATTGCAGGATCTGCAAACACAATCCACTCGTCTTCCCTGTAACTATGTAACTTACTGTGAGAATAGCTATCTGTATGCAAACAAAATTAAGGCATGTATCCTTGGAATGGACCAGATATGCTTAACTCAGGGTATGCGCAGGTCTTTATTTTTCTGTAGGCAGTTAGTTGTAACTTGTGTGTGTGTGGAATGCCAGGAAGCATTATACTGCTTTAAATGAAAAGTGCCATTGTTGTGACAGTGGACTGTGCACGCTGGAGGCAGTATCTGCTGGACCTATTGTGCCCACAATCACTATGAAGCACATTGTTTTTTTTGTTTTGTTTTTTTTCTCTTGGTGATGACATGTTGCTTTTTTTAAGCAAAAATATCAATGAATGAATTTTCATTATTTAATCTAGCAATCTGTTTTTGTTGCTTATATGGGTCATCTTGCTTTAATTGATCTCCTTATCAGAAATTAGATGTAATGAAATTATTTAAATTCATTGAGTCTGTGCTGAATTTTTCTGCAAAACATCCTGAAATATATTTTATTTGAACGTATTGCTTTGATTTCAGCCATTTGAAGAATTGTCTTGGTTCTTCATAAGGAAGTCTTGTTAAGAGCTGTAACCCTTTGATGACCACAGGCAATGAATTTTCCTCGCAACAAGGATGCTATCTGACTCCATTGTGTCACATTACAAGCCAGAAACCTAACAACTTTGAAAAAGCATGCCACACTACCTCTCATTTTTATGGTTAATGAGCCTTTGGCTTTCTCACGTAAAGTGAATTCTCATCCCTATCAGTGGCAGGGCGTGACGCACACATACATCAGGGCACACGTTTGCGTAGTGCAAGATGATATTATTATAAGTAGCGTCACCGCTGTAATTTCATCACCAATTAATTTGCCGTTTCGTATTGGCTTAATTACGCCCAGTGCTTTGTGTCGGAGAGCCATAAATTGCGGTGCTATCACGGGGGATTTATGCCACTGTGCCTCTTGCATTCGTCACCGCCTCTTTCAGACGTCTTATCCCAGCGAGCGGGGCTGAAATGAATGCAGCATTGTAATGATGAAGTGCGTTTCAAAGAACAAGCGGATGAAGCTCTAGGATTGAGCCGCTGCTGCACATCAGATCTGCACGGGTTTCCCGTCGGTTCATGTCGTCACTGCAGTCGTTTTAAATCACCACTGCCTCGACTGACATGTGGACCTGGTTTTGGTATGCACGTTCATTCAGAGCCCCAAGCACCTGTTGTGGAGCCGTTTAAATCTGTGCAGAGTGAGGACCTGCCAGTCTCTCCCTGCTTCAGCGCTGAGCTAAGGCTGCTGTCTGGGTTGGTGCAGGCTCAGCAGGTGCTGCCCAGGTCAGGAGGACAGGATGTTCCACACTCTTTCACGCCTCACCTCCTCTAAGTCATAACACAGTGGAATCTGGGCTGCCTACAGCTGTTGACACAAAAGGCCAAGGGCAGGGGAGCAGCAAGTCCAGGGAAACGGTTTGTTTTTGTCCCTCACCTGGCTTTAGACACCAGTGGTATGAGTGGTCGTAAGGTGAGGGGGCCAGTGATTATAGAGGCTGAATATAGGAAGTAGAGTTCTTTTCAGTTTAGGGGTAGATGCAAAGTCCTTTTGAATCACATCTCTGTCTGGAATCTGATGGAGGGAAGTGCTCCCTCTTAACTACAGTTTCAAATTCATTCTTTTCTAATTAAACCTTTTAATCGTGTCTCTTGTGAGACTCACAACTCGTACTTTAAAGCCTGCAGGAAGAATGAGACAGAGACCTCTAAAGACATCTCCCTTCTTTTTTTTGTCATTCGTAAATACTTTTTCTGCTGCATTTGATCTGGCATCTGATAAGGATACAAAATATCCTTTTTTGCCTTGCTTTTGAAGCAGTAACGAGATATACTTTAGATATTGTAAGCTTGCACCCTGGAGAACAAAGGATGAGGTTGATCTCTACGCTCCTGGTCTGGCAAGATGTGGTTTGATCAGATAGATTCTTTTGCCTTTTTGGAGCACATGTTAGAATTTAGGCATGTACTCTTTATAACGAGAATCAGCATCCTGCTAATAATACATCCCTGCTCAATATGCACCCAAATGATAATGTGGGAGAAAACGTTTCAGAGGTTTTTTAAAGAAAATGTATTTTAGACTTCTTTGCTTTGTTCTCTTAATGCTTTTCAGTCACAGTTTCTGGATGCATTTTGCTGTCTGACAAAAGAGAAAAAAATGTGAATGAGCGCAGCCGTTCCAGGAGTTAAACTGCATTGATAAAGTGCACATGTGAGCCCAAAGAGAATGTGAATCTTTATCACATTTTGCAGTGCCGCTGTCTCAGTGCAGGTCTCTTCCGTCTGGTCCTGAATGTTACCAGTTGTGCAGGAAGCACACGCACCTATTCTCTATTTTCAAGGTCATGCGTTCTGTTTTTTAGCTTTTACCCGAGAGCCGGTCAGAGCGGCGATACCTTTCCCTCTCTGCTTCTCTTTCACATCTCTCTACCTCCCCCCCCCAAACCTTTAGGACTTAAACAGTTAGAAAAGCATGTTAAGATCTTTCTCTTAGAAAATTAACATCCTTTTAAAAGTGGAAAATGGGATGTCTTCCTCGGCATGGAGCACACTCAGCCCCAAGGCCAACATTTGATGTGCATCTTTGATGAACTGGGAATTCTCCTGAGCAGCCTCACAGCTGAGGATTGTGTTTTTGCAAATAAGCTGTCATAGAGAGAGAGTCTGATCCTCGCTTTCCTCTTTCACTTTTCCTGCAAAATGCTGCCTTGGGAGACACATGCTCAATAAGTCACGCCTGCCAGAAGCATTTATTTGTTTTTCAGCTGATCGATCCCTCCTTTTCATTAATGACTACAGCTAAGAGGAAATGTTCATTTTCTTCCGTTTGGTGCTGTTTGTGTAATTAGATGTGCAGAGCAAGACTTGTGTCGTTCTTTTGAGGTGAGAGAAACCAAAGCAGCGTCACACGGTGTCGGCAAATAGTGGTCTAATTGTAAGCGGATTTGGAGCCAAGCTGGTTTCAGGCAGTGAGACGGGAGCTCACAGTAGAGCGCACAAGGGGGTGGAGACTTTTGCACACACACACACACACACACACACACCACTCTCTTCATCACTTACCCTCCCTCATCTGCCTCCTTCCCTCCCTCCTGTACGCCGGCTCTCTCTTTCATTCCCCCTCCCCGTCCCTCCTGGTTTCTTTCCTCTGATTGGCTGATGGGCAGCCAGCCGTCTATCCCCTTCCCCCCAGCTTCCAGAAGAATCTACGTCACACATCAGAGAGTCCTGACTGTATAACGATTGCTTCCATAACTGTTATTATACATGGTGGCACAGCCGCAAAGTCCTCTGTTTTTATGAGGAAATCACCTCTTAAAACCAGCTGGGCGAATTGACCGGGAATTACTGGGTCCATCTGCTGCCCTTAATACAGTAATAACGACAAGAGGATAATAGTAGATCACCGCGAATGAAGGCCAAGGGGAGAGGGGAGCACAGGAAGGTGGGGAGGGATGGCGCACAAGAATGGAGAGGAAATGGAGCAGATGTAGAGAAATCTGATGACAGGCGAGCACCAGAGCAACAGGGAGAAGGACACTAACAGATACAGGCTGCGGCCAGTTGAGAACCATGCATAGAAAACACACGTTCAGTGTCACATCCAACACACAAACACACGGGAGAAAATGGGTCAAGAACCGTTTGCACGGGATGTGGGGGCGAACCTGGCTGCCGGGTCCACGACACCATTTTGCCCTCTCCCCCCAGCGTGGGCCTCAGCATTATATAACTCTTTGTTTTTGGATGTGACGCGCTGGCCGCATGTGCGCAACTTATTCACTGCCTCAGCGCACACTCTCCTGATGGCAGCCAATGGCGAAGCACTGCTCTTTGTTACTCATTTAGGCTGCAGAGATATTCTTTTGATTGTTCTTTTCCATGCCTCCCCCCACCCTCCCCACCCACACACACACAACTCCAATATTATTTTAGCTCAGCTCCGATCAGCTGATGTTTGGGTTTGCTTAAGAACAGTCTGTGTAGGTTTTAAACACTTTACTTGGTTTAGATTGTGTTTACCAGCTTATTTTATTATGTAATGAAGTGCGCTGAGGCGATTATCCACAGTGTGCTCTGTGTTCCATGATGCATCTCATCCTGTGGCAGCTCTTTGACCTCAAGCTGGACCTCCATGTTCTCTGTCTGTCAGAAAAGTTTATACTAATCTGTTTGTGGCTTCTGTTTATTTTGTAACCAGTGTTTTCCAAAACCCATATCTGAGAAGCTTTTAGAGTTACTTTACTTCCTTCCTTTCAGTCTTATTGCATTCACAGGTGTTTTTTTTCCCCTCTGGGAATACTGGACACAGGGCATGACCTGACATAGCAGGCTAATACAATTAGCAACAAGCATGTGAATATGATGGCGAATTTGACTTTCCAAGTAAAGACCTAGAACAGCTTAAAGAGAATGTAAGGTGGCATCAAATCTAAAAAAACGGTTCCTCTGACCTTACTCACTGTATTTTTTGGGCCATTTGCTGATATTTGTGTGGCATTATTTCAATGTGCAACAATTATAATCCCCTGATTCCAATTTGAAGGGGAATAAGTATAATAACTATTAACGATGAGTGCACTTAAAACTGGCTGCTCGGCTGGACTATTCCAGAAAGGTAGGATACAGAACCCAGACTGCAGACCTTTGTAAAAGGCTGGTCAGAGCTGACAGAAAATCCCTCTGTTGCCAGGGGTAACTACAGCTAGTGGGACATGAGCACTTGGCTTCAGCAGCTGTGCCAGCAGTTAATAACCAACAGCTTTGGTTGAATGCTGAGAGGTGATTATTTCAGAGGCTATAACCTGCCACAAACTATGAATAGCTGATGTTGATGGGGCTGAGAGCTCTTTACATCACTGTCCTGGTGAAGACAATAGAGTGCAATAATGAAGGAACAAGTCTTAGTCCATTATCTGGTCCTTGACCTCTTTATCACTTTTAATCTGTGAACAGGCACCACAGCAGACAGTGGGAGAGGTATATATCTTGTTATCTTGTGCTATCCCTACAGGCAGATGTATTTTTTATAAGGTGCCACGCTGGCATTATTACAGTCCTCTGTTCTCTAATCATATATTTAGACTCACCACTTCCTCGAAAAAGTCTTTAGGCTCCCAGTGGGGAAAACAGATCTTGTGCTTTTATAGAAATCTCCAGATTTGCGTTTCTGAATTTAACCTTCTAAAAGTGGGCATGGTTGTGAAAAGAGGCAGTGAAGGAAATGCTCAGCTGGAGCAGCTCTTCAGCAATGGCTGCTGATTGCTACTTTTCTGTATGTTTTACTTCTGTAACTTCCAGCTTCCAGCTGTTTCATTTGTGAACCAATTATCATTTAATGTTAAGATATCAAATATAATAATCCATAATAAGTTTTTTTTATTCCATACTTGCTCTCAGCATCTCTACTCGTGCCTAATAATCCCTCATCCCTGCATTTTTCCCCCCACCTGTCCCCTCCATCCTCCCACTTCCACAGTGCCAGACTCTGCCAAGCTCGACCCCACCCCTCCTTTTCCCCCCGCCAACCCCGGTGCCATCCCATCTGTGCCCCCAAGCAGTGGAAATGGAAAGCGCATCCCCTCCGGAGGCCAGCCGCAGACAGCACAGCAGCCGCAGACTCCGCTCCAGCAGCGCTACCCGCCCAGAGAGGTGCCCCCACGCTTCCGACAGCAGGAGCACAAGCAGCTGCTGAAGAGGGGCCAGCCTCTGCCCTCCGGTACCCTCCCGCTCATCACTACCGGACATCCCGCCACTAGTGAACCTGCAGCAGCAACAGTAGCCATAAGCTCCTCTCCATCCTGCTCCTCTTCCTCCACAGCCAGCTTGCCCTCAGGTCAGCCTAGACACTCTGTTGGCGAGTCACTGTCGCATATGTTGGCAGGTTAAAAAGGTTGTCAAACATTTCCAAGGACGATTTTTGGGTTTGTTTTTTCTTTGCCAAGATTATTTATCACAGGCGAAACAGTATCAAGGTTTAGTAAAACTTCATTTGAGAAAAAAGGTGCATCGCATCAGACACATATCTAGCTTTAGCTGATACATGCAAAATTCTACTCAGTTATTTTTAAAAATAGCCCTCCATTGCTGGTAATGGATCAGTTTCCATTATCTGTGTAAGACATCTGACTTTGGGTCTGCTCTAACAGCCTGACAGCCCAGCCACCTTCTGACCAAAATTTGTTCCAATCAATCAATGCGTTGTTCAACAATATCATAGGACCGACAATTTGTCCAGTTTATTTACCTTTTTTAAATTATTTTTTTAAATTATAGTACTGTCATAGGAAAGAGTTAATGATTAGAATAAAATCTACAATCTTAGGTAGTTTATTGTAATCTAATTTATTTAAGTAAATCAAGTTTAACAAAGAGTGCAGGAAATCAGGACACTAATATTTGTTTTCTTTAACATTGCAAATTCAATATATTTTTGTTGTCATCTCAGAATTTAATCGCATGATGTCCTCATCGAGAGACCTTGAAGGACCATAGAGGAGGAAATTATCCTCAGAATTTTCTAAAGCTTTTGTTCCAGCATATAGGCTCTTGTGTCATTATGCTTTGCTGCCATTATTTGAAAGATCAGACCAATATCTCCTCTTGTGATGTACTTGTAAAAGTACTTGTATAACAGGTGCGTCTGGCAGTTGTTTATTTCCACTCAGCCTGGTTGGGAATTACAGAAGGGGATTGTGGAATACAAGGGTAGAGGATACACAGTAAACACAGCTGGCTATCTTTGAAAATGTGCTTGTGTGTGTTTTTCTTCCTGCTGTTTTATGTGTTTGTCTGTGGTAGTGGTCAATTACTGTATTTCCCCAAAAAGTAGGATTTTCTCTTTGGCAGAGGGCGTAGGGCTCTTGGCATGCTGCACCGTCTCAGTGCAACAGCTTTCTTAGTGTCTTAGCACCACCCGACACCTCTCATGCTGTTTGAGTGCAGATTTATCTCCATAGTAATGAGATGTTTATCCTGTCCTCATCTGTCTCTCCGCCTCCTCCTTCTCATCACCACCCTCTTTGCTCTGCTCTGAGCCTCAGGATTTCCTGTTTTTGGAGGAGGAGCAATACAGCTAGTTGGGTTGCTGCCTTAGTGGGACTGACCTGGCATACTGTAGATAGAAAAACTGAGAGAAGGAAAGAAGGATGAAGAGAGCACGCGTGGCAGAGGTCCAGGTCTGTGGGCTGGAGTGACTCATGGCTTACGGTAAAAGCTCCTGCTTCTCTCCGCCCTCTCTGGCAGACTGGACCGGCTCTGCTTTTGCTTTCTGTGTGTCTTTGAACTAGAGGATTGTATTTGGACAGTCACGAAGAAGGACCTTCCAGACACAAAGAAGGTTCTTGGTTCTGTCAGTTGCGAGTCTTTGAAAGCATGCAGCATTATTCTGCAGCACACACAGCACCACAGGTATTCCCTCAGCCTGGCCAGCTGAAAGAATGATTTTACCTCCTTCTGCTCTCATGTCATGGCCACAGCCGACAGTGGAAACACACTCGCTGCATTCATTACCTTTTATTTTCCTCTCCTCTCCATCTACTGGCTGCTGCACCTCTCCTCACTCTGTATTTCATTACACGGTCACACGTGGGCTCTCATGGAAAGCAGGCCTGACAAATGTGTCCTTATGCATATATGTGTCTGCAAGAATACACAAACATAACCTTCCCCTCCAATCTTAACCTAATGTCTCTCTGCTCAGCTTGGCACAGTCACAGTATTACTCTGCTGGAATGGCATGTAAACAGTGGGCCACTGCTGTGTTTGGACCTCAGATTTTCATCAATAAAGAACATTAACCTTAATGTTGAAAACCTCCTATTTTTAAGGCATTACTACGTCTTTTATTAAGCATACACACTTCTTATATTCTGTCTATAAGGTACTTATAGGTCCTGGCTTCTGTGTTGTTGGATCTAACTATGATAGAACTAATTAGATAATTAACTTATAGTCTTGCGGTATTGGTCATGGCGTTTGAAATTTACAGCCTTATTTTTCTTTGTTTTTTTTGTTGTTGTTATTTTTGGATTTGTAACACAGCCCTGTTTATAGCCCATAAAATAATTATAACGGTTTTATATACCAGTAGGAAGTCGTAGATAAAATAAAACAGAAAAAAAAAGACATCTCAGTCCTCGTTGAGGGAAAGAGCAGAGCTGATAAAATGCTCCTCACCAGTCTGGAGGAGGAGAGAGAGCACACGCTAGACTTGATTTGCTCTTTAAGTCTGCTGATGATGCTGTAAAAGAGCCTTGGGAATCCCCTCAAAGAGAACTGGGATGTCTTGTGATGTGATTAAACATCAGCTCACTGTTAACCAAAAATATTCAACTCTCGCTGTCTTTCTTCAATTTTTAATGTTTTTTTTCTTTATCTTGTTTGACTTGTGCCTTTGCTCCTCTGACTGTCTCTGCTCCGCTCTGTGACGCACACGTTCTCCTCCTCCACCTCCGCCAGACTAAAAACGCAGCTACACAGACTTGTTGGCCCTTGGGCAGTTAAGATTAGTCGAGGTGGCACATACTAAATACATGTCAGTCTTTCCCTTATTACAGCCCTATTACAGTGTTGCCTCTTTTTTTGCTTGACTAACAATTCATATCCCAGGGCTCTTTCGTGTAGTGGAGGTATGAAAGGGTGAGCTATTTTTGGACTGGCATTCTGAAGACAGGCCTTGACCTGGTTTATCCCTCAGAGGAAGAGGAGGAAGAGAATGTTCACAGGGAAACATGACGAGCAAATGTCTTAGCTACCTCACATATCTTAGTTACCACAAATGTCTCCATCTTTTTTTTTTGGGCACGGATGACATTATGCACCATTAATGACATCAGTTGCAAAAAAGCGGCCATAGTTTTGGTTAAATCCCTGCTTCTATGCTGCTGCTTGTTCCAAGAGAAGCTAACTACATTTTCTCTTTAACATAGTCCCACAGTACTGTGTGAATTAATTTGAATGGCTGTGTGTGCATAGCTGACTGATGGTTTTTTCCTTTGCTGTGAGGAAATGCAGGTCGTTGTTGTTATGCAGCATTTCCTTGCCTCACCAACACCCTTTCATCAGCAGCACAAAAATATTTTTGGCAATGTGTTTGTAACAAACCAAAATTCACTTTATGTTTGAACCCCTGCAAAAGCATTGCTGACTTACTGATATGCTTACTTTTTGTTGACATGCTTAATGTGTCTGTAACAGGGTTTGATCTGTTATTTTAAATGAGAATCGATCATTCCAACAATGATATTTTTTCAAATTTACTTCAGTTTACGTTTACAGTGTACCGGATCAAAAGCAGAATTTGAATCTTGCCATCGTTAAGAAAAGAGCGAGCACATTCCTGAGAGGAGTGTGTGTGTGTGCTTGTTTTGGAGAGCTTGTTCTTCTCGCTGGCAGCATGCATTGTCAGCTCGGTACCATCCAGTTTTCCTTGCCCCTCGGGGACTTCATTAAGCCAGGATCAGTACAGCTGGGGCCCACACAGTCCTTCTAGATCATTTCCTCTTTCTATTTTCCCAACATTCATCTCTGTCCTTCATTTTCTATCTCTTCCATCTCTGCTACTCTGGATGCCTCCTTTGTTCTGCGGCCATTACCTTTGCCATTGCACATGAACCTGTCCTCATGGGCCAAAAAATTTTTATTTGGACCACAAATGCTATTTGTTTTTAAAATGCTATTTAAGCTTTTTTATTTTTTGTTCACACGAGGGAAAAAAACAGGATTTTGATTGTCGGTTGAAAAAAGCATTAATATGCCCTTGGACTGTTCAACTCCATCTAAAATGAGTTTTGAAACACAAGTGATGTGATCTAAGAGAGGAATTCTTTGGACAAGGCAAAATATCTTACATCTTGCTTTAACAAAACCCAATTCATACAGTTTTGTTATTTACGTTATGAACAGTGAGGCAAAAGAAAACTATGGAAGGATGGTACACCTGCTGATCTGCCTTGAAGTCAGATATTTGTGCGCTGACCTCTACTTTCAAGGTGTGGATTAAGGAAAACAGGAGGTTCATTGTTAGCTTTGTGAGCGCTGGTGGTGGTGACCTAAACTTGTGTTCTGTCTTCACTGTAGAGGAAAAGAAGACTGAACCTCAGCAAGAGAAGGACTCTATTCTCTACCAAACATTAACTTATTGTTGTGTTGTGCGGGCGTTGGAATCATTTGTAAACAATGGCCGCCTTGATTCAAGGGGGCTCTCCTCTCTTTGTCTCACCAGCTTCACGTTCTTCCTGTCCTCTCTTTCTCCTCTATCTGATGGATATTCTGCAAGTCTTGGTGAAAGCTTTCCTTGTCTATAGCACATGTCCCATGTTTGTAACCAAATTACCAGTCTATAATCATTTAATAGGGGCATATTCATTCAAGCCGGCCAATGTTGTCCTGTGTCCACAAGGCATTCATATAAAGGGGATTCCCCCCAGCCAAACTCAATGTTTGTATTTTCAACAAGTAGCCAAAAAATGAATGAAATGAATACATTTATCAATCAATACATTTATCACCTATGATCTGATCATATATCTCTTCATGAATTTGTATTTGCAAATGTTACGTTTTTCTTGTATGCGGTGGTCAGCACCGTTTCCGTTTCCACGGTGGTCAGCAGTGCAGATATTCGACAAACTAAAGGTTCTCAGACCCTTTGTGTGAGCTGTGAGGTTAGATTCCTTTTACTTTGTGAGTGCATAAGAAAACCCCACTTTCCCCCGTTGATTTTAAACATCCCCTTCTGCAGCCAGCCATGTTTCACAGCTTTACCAGAGAGGAAGAATATCCCCCGTCAGGACAGGAATAGAGTGTGATAGAAATAAAGCCAGAGGGAGGCAATAGATGGAAGGGGAGAGACCCAGCCAAAGCAGTGTTGGTGGGAGGGACAGAGCAAGAGCGGTGAGGAAGGAAGGGAGGTGTGTGTGTGATCCTCTGTAATCATGCCGCGCAAGAGCTGTGCAACTTCTTGGCAGCATTTCAGAAATGAGCCTCAGAAGCTTGGCGAGCAGAGCAGACATATTGAGACGAGGATGGTTGCTGCGTTGCACAAAACCTAGCTCTTTACAGAATGGTCGGGAGGCACCTCTCCACAGGTATTTCATTACGGTGTTGCTCATTTCTCCTATCTTCTGTCTGTGTTTTTCTTCTTTGCCTGTCCACTGCATTGTTTTGGCAGCTGGTCTTTACATAGCCTATGCCGTAAATGAGTACTTCTCCACATTTAGGCTGTAGCGGCAGTGCGTTGTGAGTATGCAGTGTTCCTTTCCTCCATTCGCCGTTATCGCTGCAAGTGAGGTGTGTGTTATCGAACACAGGCAGCCGATCAGAGCCTTTTTGGCTGTTATTCAGCACTGAGAAAATGGCGGTCCTGCACTTAGACGCTACAGAACGACAGCGCTGTGTGTCAGCAACGGAGTGCCCTCTTTTTTTCTCTCTCTCTCTCCTCCCCTGCTTTCTTACTGTGTCCTCTTTCCCTCTCAAGAAGTGGCAAGCACTGAAGTAAGTTTGAAAAAAAGGGGTGGCACATAGATGCTGTCACTTCCCTCATGCAGTTGTGACAGTGTGTTTGTGTACACACTATGGAGGCACGTGAGAGCGCATGTAAACAACAGCAGCTGCAGCCACAAATGTGGCAGTGAGGTGGCGCCACTCTCTTTGGTGAAGTGGCCCACCGTCTGAAAAAATCTGAACTTTTAGTCTGGGCTGTCAGAGCAGTTTTGCAAGCAAATGGAAGCTGATGAGCCTGTGAATAAATGAAAAAGTTTTGTTCAATTTTTGTAAGTAGATATCATGTCTGTTAGTGTCTGGGAGGTAATGATGAGTCTTGACTAACATCATATCTGGTTCTTAAATTGAGGGTTGTTCTTGGTGTCCATAGCTATAGCATTTAGCTTTTATGACTAGTCTTCATGTGAGAAATCTACTGATTATTTAAAGGATTGTGCATGAAGATTTAATAACAGGGAAATATGATCATATCACAACGGAAGGTTTGTTAAGGAGATTTTTTTTCAAAGCTATCCAGTAGAAGGAAGATCTCCAGAGGCCATTCTCATTTTTGATTATGTCTGCATTAATAAGTATAAAGAAGCATTATGGCTGTCTTAATTCCTCTCCAGCGCTTCATTGATTATTGGTTTTGAGACTGGAGCAGCATTTAAATATTAGAGAGTCTAACATGAAAAATACAAGCTTTCTGAGCTGGTTTAAGGACTCCTAAGTTGCTTACACTATGTCTCAAAGATTCATATAAAAAAAAAAAAAAAGAGGAGCGCCCCCTCTTGCTTTTTGCCCCTGATGGACAGCCATATTCCAAGATGATGATACCAGGATTGATAAAGCTTAGGCTCTCAAAGAGTAGTTCTGGAAACATGACATCGATTGGCTGCTACGGAGAAATAGTGGTCTTATCTTGTGATGCTGCAGCATTAAGCAAATTAGTCCTTTCTTGGCATAGCATTCGCAAAATTGTTGTATTTGAAAATACAATGTCACACCTAAACTGTACATAATAGTCAAGTTTTTTATTTTGTTATCAATTTAGAAGTTATTTATTTTCACTAGTTAAGCATCCTTGGCGGTCTTATCTACTCACATCTTACATGTTGCCATGGTATTTCAACCTCAGTAAGCTTAAGTGGGTGTTATGACGTATGCATCATCTCTTCATCATTCTCTTGCTTGTGCTAATTTTTTTTTTCCTGTTTTTCTTTATAGAACTGCCCCCACAGAGCGGCCAGGGAGCCCAGTATGAAAATTCCCTTTGGGGACATTTGCCAGCCAACAGAAGTGCCACAAGTGCTGCAACTACCACCAGCCTCAGTGGCTGGGATCCACTGATCATTGACCAGAAAGACACAGAGGCTTGGCCTTCTATTACCATTAGCCAGAGCCAGGCCCCTCCAGGAGGATGCCCTTTGGACATTGACCCTGGTCACCTGACCAGCAGCAGCAGTAGTACTAGCAGTAGTTGTAGTACAGTGAGTATGGCCACAGGAGCCAATAGTCAGACAGGCCACTTCCCTGCCAACCACCTTAGCAACAAAGCCAACAGTGGGTCTAGCCCTGCCAATCATACTGGAACAAGCATTCTCTCCAGCCAGGTTGCAACCAACCGCAGTTGGGGCTCTGGGCCTGGTCCCTCTCATTGCCCACCTCAGTCCTCAGTGGGGAATGAAGGGAAAGGTGAAAGCCTAGTAGGAGGAGGAGGGAGTAGAGGCTGGGGTTCCTCTTCATCATCCTCCTCAACCAACTTTAACTTGAACCTAAACCCTAATGCCAACCCATCTGCCTGGCCCATGTTAGGGCATGATGGGGGTGGCACTGGGGGTGGCAGCTCAGGGGGAGCCAACACCATTTCACCTCCTCAACCTACACCCAACCTCTGTAATCCACCTGGCCCCCCAACAGTCCAGACCAGCACCTGTTCTGGAGCCAACGCTAACAGCAAGCCGTCTGGGATTGGCAGTGCTTGGGGTACTATAATGGCTTCTGATGTGTCAGAGCCCCACCCCACCCCGTCCACAAATGTGTCTTTCAGTTCAGAACCTCATAACCTTAAAACTGATGGACCAAATCACACTAATAAGCAGGAACCTCCCAGCCCAATCCGAAACTTGCCTGGCTGGGGTAACGCATCTGTAGGTGTGGGTTCAATGGGACAGCTACAGCCAGGAGGTTCACAGGTGAATGGAGAAGATGGTAATTCGGTTTGGGGTAACAGTGGTAACTCCAAGCCAACTCCATCAAAGGAAGGATCTGGCTGGGATTCTGCCTGGGGCCATGCAGGAGGTGGAGCAGGTAACTCTGGAGGCTGGGGCGAGCAGTCTAGTGGAGACTGGGGAAAGCAGCATACTGAAGAGGCCCAGGGAGGCTGGGATGCTCCCAGCTCTCCTCCCCAGGATTCCCAGGCTAGTCCCTGGGGTAGAGCTGTAAGCACAGCTGGTGCCAGTGAAGGAAGTAGTGACAGCATTGAAGGACATCCCAGGCAAAGAGGCCGTTCATCCAGAGATAATCCAGTTCCTCTACTGCCTGCCCAGGATCTGGACCCAAGGGTGCTGTGCAACACTGGCTGGGGACAGACCCCTGTTCGCCAGCACACCACTTGGGACATGGACGATGCTAAAAACAAGAACGATGTAAGCACTGAAACATGGGGCTCAGGCCCAACCACTCCAAGTGATCTGCAGGGGCCCTCAAACACTAACACAGGCTCCACACAGCGGACAGACCACGGCAGCAAAAACGATGTGCCTGGTTCTCAGGGAGCTTCTGGTTGGGGTGGAAGCATAGCTGCTCCCAGCCAGTCGAGCTCTGGTTGGGGAGAGCAACCCAGCAACATTAAGCACCCTGTTGGCCCAAGTGGCTGGGGAAACCATCCACCAGGAGGCCCCAACCCTAACATACCCAAAAATGGTGGTCAGTCGTGGGGAGAGGAGAAATCGTCTGGGTGGGAAGATTCTCACAGCAAGCCAGCGTCCCAGGGCTGGGGAGAGCAACCAAAAACATCCCACACCTGGGGCAACAGTGGAGCTAGCAATAATTCAGGGGACTGGGGGGAGCCTGAAGAGAGCAAGAAGAGTCCCACCAACCCTGAATGGGAAAACCAACGAGGATGGGGAATGTCTGCGCCAGGACCTGGGATATCAACTGGAGGAGGTGGAGGCTGGGCTGAGTCTGTACCTCAGCGTCCAAGTGGCCCAACACAAGGTTGGGGTGGCAAGCCTCAGGATGGGCCCAGCACTAATAGTGGAGGAGGAGCTATGGGCTCCTGGGCTAGCTCAGGCCCTGTGAAGCAGAGTGCAAGCTGGGGTGGTAGTAAGCAGGAGCCCTCAACTGAGCCCACAGGCTGGGAAGAGCCCTCTCCTCCTTCAATCCGACGCAAGATGGAGATCGATGATGGGACATCTGCATGGGGTGACCCCGGTACCTACAATAAAGCAGTCAATCTGTGGGATAGGAACAATCCTGGAAAGTCCCAAACTAAAGTTACTCCAGGAGGCAATAACCCCCCAAGTTCCAGCAACAACCATCCTCACTCTCACAATCACCCTTATCACGGGCCACCTGCACCTTTACAGAACCATAGCCAAACCACCCAAAATCCAGGCCCCACCAGTGGCCCAATGGATCCTCCAGTTCAACACCAGTCTGGACCATCTCACAACAGGGGTCCCCTGATAGCTCAAGGTAAGGAAATACAATTTACAATGCAGTAGTGCTACAATTGCAAAGTTCATTAGTTTGATAACCTTGTAGGACATGGGTCATTTATAATATAGGATTCCAATGGCGATCACATTACATTTTGTTTCATTCAACTTTATCTAAATTGGACAGGTTCCTATTTTCTTTTTGTTCAAAGTAAAGGTGCCAAACATGAAGGCTGGTTAGGTAGTTTGTTGAGTGCTCTATTAAGCTCCAAGCTGTTGATCCACTTAAAGGTAAAATCTTGACCTAGATTGCTCTCTTTGGATTTGCATCTAATCAACTATCTAATTCAGATGGGCAGTGTGAGCACATTCTCTCCTAGAAGCTCCATGCATTTCACACCAGGCATGTCTGTATCAGTAACCCTGTCAAGTTGACATGGGGACACATAGGAGGGACAAGAATGGTGTTTACAAAGTGTGTGTGAAAATACTGATTCACCACAAACTATTTAAGACCGATCGGAAGTGTGTGATTATATGGAACCCACCATCTGTCACTTTTTAAAGGGAGGAGGTGGAGCAATCCCTGAGGCTTCAAGAGTGGGCAGATGCCCCCTGCTGTTCCTCATTTGACCCTGCATGTTGCGTCCATGTTGGGTTGGATACAAACTGATAACTGACCTTGGTAGCTGCTAACTATATAGCACGCCAAAAACAAAAAAGTATTCCTCCTCAGTGTTTATCTGTAGTTAACTTTGCTTTTCTGCTTTAGCCTTTTTATATGAATGTAGTTTTTCGGGCCACTCATACCAGAAGGTTGAATGTGAACTATAATTTTGGAGCAGTCTGTAGGACTTGACCTTTCCCTGGTGGGAGAGCTGAGCTCAGTCTGGCAGTGCTGCAGACGTAGAGACAGCCCTCTGCCTCCCATGCCAAAAAGGGCCGGAATGTGCCAAATCTTAAACAGGCACCTCTATTAGCGATCCTGCTTAGCCAAGCCCAGGTTCCTGCCTCCGTGCATGTCTGGCATCTCTCTAAAACAAATGTGTAAATGTGTGATAGCTTTCACCAGACAATATAATGTCATGATTGTCTCTGGGCTTACTTCATATAAATGACTTAGAAACAACAAAGAGAATACAATTTAAATGACTAGGTACATTGAATTTAATAACGCACTTAATTAACTGTCACCTAGCTATGAATGGAAACGTATAATTCACCAAAGTAAAATCAGAATGTGCATCATGAAAATGACATCAGTCACCTTGTTATTCATGTTTTAGGCAGACCTCCCGAGTGGGCCTCAAAACATTTAATAAATGATGTGGAGATGAGGAAATACTTCATTATTATACATTATTAATTCAAAATAATAAATAACATATTTGTGATATGATTATAAAGCTCAGTTGAATTTTGAATTGAATCCATCTGTAGTGCTGCAAACAGAACCTCAGAAGCGGCCCATTTATGTAGAAGGTTTGTCTAAATATGTCAAAGAGACTAATGTACTTTTTTTATCAAAGGGAGATAAAATGTGAAAATTTGATATGAGGGGATGATAACATTCTCAAACTCACATTAAATCACAAAAGAAAATATCACAGAGAGCTTTGTAATGTGAAATGCGATCCCAGTAACTTTGTGGAGGTTTATCAGATTGTCCCCAAAAAGTGTCTATGATGGTATAGGATTAACAAATGGGGCAACTAAATTGTTAATCATTGTCTAAACTTTAATGAAAACAGCCATGAACGAAGAAATTCACTGAATAGAAACATAGAACCAGCCTTTTCTGGATAACAGATCTGAAATTGCTCATAAAAATTCTCGGCTTGGAAATTTTACATTTAGAAGCTGCTGTCCTTGTGTGTCCTCCAGGTTGGGGAGAGCTATCCAGCTCCCACACAAAATCAGACAGCTCTTGGGGAGAACCTGCACAGTCTCCAGTCAGCGTGGATAATGGCACATCTGCCTGGGGCAAACCTAGCGGGAGCTCTGGAGGATGGGGAGATAGTAACACAGACAATTATGGAAGGGGCAACCCAGCAATGGCACCCACATCTTGCAAACCGGGTATATAGTTAAATCCTGCACATCTAGTACTATTTTGCTGTTAATAAAGAATCATTCTAGGCTGGTGCTACACTGCGGAAAGTTTAGCATTTTCTTCCTGATGCGTCAACTAAAGGACATAAATATTGCAAAAGAAAATCCCTTTAAATGTCATTGTGTGGTCCACACTGACCTCTGGTGGCTGCTTTCATTTATTTATTTATTTTATTTTAATTATTCATTCAGCTGCTCAGCTGAAAAGTGCATGTAATTTTTAAGCTTTAAATATTCAGTATTCAGATAAATGTTTTTATGTTGATGAGGCTCAGAGTTGTGCTCTTATAAGACAATTTCAGTAAAAGCAGAAGGATGAGGTAATGGTTTTATCCATCCCTGGTGACCTGATTTACATTTTCTGCTGTGTTTTTTGCAGCCCCCAAACCTATGCAAGACGGATGGGGAGGAGGAGGTGATGAGCTCAGTTTGTCGGGTGGTCAGTGGGAAGCCGAGGAAGGAGATATGTGGAACAGCACGGCCTCCCAGGAGAGCAACTCTTCCTGTAACTCGTGGGGAAATTCGTCCAAAAAAGGCCCGCAGAAGGTGTGTGATGGCTAAATAGACAATGAAGCGTTGTTTTTATCTACCTGTTTCATTCATTAGCTTTCTTGTGAACTATTACCGGGTTAGCATGCTAACAATTTGCCCCAATTGTCTCCCTCAGACGAAAGTCACAGGGAAGCAGGAAGATGCCTGGATCATGAATCGTCTCATCAAACAGCTGACAGACATGGGCTTCCCTGTGAGTTCAATTGAGAAAATTGTTGCTGATTGTTGCTTTAAAACATGAAAAATCTTGGATATGTTTATTTTGTACATTTTCACAAATTTAGCCATAATTTATTTTCCAATATATTTTGTTTTCTGACATGACAAACCATGCTGGGTTCAGTCTTTTCACAACACAAAAACTCAATGAGCTAAATGTGTAAAAGCCAGTTCCCTAAATGGATTTCAGGCTAACAGCCAATTTTATCAGTCTGCTGCGGCTTACGGCTTGGTTTTCTGGTTCATTTCCAGAAGGATCCAGCGGAGGAGGCCCTGAAGAGCAACAACATGAACTTTGATCAAGCAATGAGTGCCCTGCTGGAGAAGAAGACAGAGCTGGACAAGCGCGGGATGGGGATAGGTGGCCACGACTACAACAACGGCCTCATGAACAAACCCGTGAGCTGCCCTCGACCTCCACTTCTTTCCAAAGATCCCTCAGCAGATCCCCGCCTGCCCTTCATGGAAAAGGTAACTTTAACTACATTCAGATTTACTTCCTGAGTGGGAAATGTTAACATTTTTTGGGATGCTGTAGTATTGGAATTCATTATGACATGAGAATGATTTTGTTTACATTAATGGAAAGGTTGACAAAATCTCAAACTTCTCTTGACTCTTCCTCTGGCCTGCAGATGCAGAGTGGAATGTTTGGCGGTGGTGGAGCAGCACAAGCCCGGTCCATGCAGCAGCCGCAGCCGCCTCCTCAGCCGCCAGTGCCACCTCTCAGCTCGTCTCAGCCTAGTCTACGTGCTCAAGTGCCTCAGTTTCTCTCCCCTCAGGTATATCTATGCTCACAAATGACTTAAATGTGAAAAAAATAAGGCAATTTAATACTTATTCTATATCGAGACAAGTTTTTAAAAATAATTTGAGAAGATCTTTTCTGCATCTGTTGGGCTCATGATTTTTATCATTGCCTGTGTAATGTCTGCAGGTTCAAGCACAGCTCTTACAGTTTGCAGCAAAAAATATTGGTCTGAATCCTGCACTTTTAACCTCACCAATAAACCCTCAACATATGACCCTTCTGAATCAACTTTACCAGCTGCAACTGGTGAGTCCCCAGAGGCCTCACTTGATCAGTTTTATTAGTTTTATTTTCAGACATTGTTCTCACAATTCTTTGATGCCCCCGTGTCACTGCGCTATTCTATGTTTTACTGACTCTGTGACAATGGTTGACTTGCTAACCATGCTTCTGTCCCACATATAGGCATACCAGCGTTTACAAATTCAACAGCAGATGTTGCAGGCACAGCGCAATGTTTCTGGCCCCATCCGACAACAAGAGCAGCAAGTACGCATCATTTCTGCTCAAATTTCTGCTGTTATTCATCTACAGAAACGCACATTTAATATGCTGTTGGCTGCTTTGAATAATAAAGTTGAAACAAAAAATGTTTTTAGACCCTAATTATAAATCCATTGTGATGTTGTTCCAGGTTGCACGTACAATCAATAACATGCAGCAGCAGATCCAGCAGCACCAGCGTCAGCTGGCCCAGGCTCTTCTGATGAAACAACAGCAACAGCAGCAGCCCCCGTCCCACTCGGGCCTCCATCCTGGTGGAGCCAAATCCAGCCTGGATTCATTTCCAGGTCATCCCCAGACTCCAGGCCTCCCTGACCTGCAGACCAAAGAGCCGCAGTCATCACCTAATACCTACAGCCCCTATGCTCTCTGTGAGTCCCACCATCTTTATTCTGTGGCTTAAAGAAATTATTTGGAGTTGCATCCTCTGTAACATCTCTCTTGTCTTCAGCTGGACTCAATCCAAACATGAATGTAAACTGCATGGATGTTGGAAGTCTGTCTATGAAGGAACCACCCCAGCCCCAGTCCCGCCTGTCACAGTGGACACACCCCAACTCCATCGAGAGTCTCTCTGGAAACTCCTCTCCTCTTGAGCCCAACCTGGGAAAACATGGTGGGGACTCACATTTGTCTTTTTTGCTGTTTGCTTATAACCATCTAATCACTTTTCAGGTCTAAAATATTGAACCTCTAAAACTTGTTTTATTTTGCATCTCCCAGGTGGGAGCCTGGGTCCTCCCGGGAAGCCCCCTCAGCTGGACGACTCGTACAGCCCCTACAACCTGATATCCAGCTCGGATTCTCCTACCAGCCCCCTGGTCCCACCAGACAGCTGGGGACAGGGCAAGAGCAGCAATGAAAAGATGGCCAACGGGACCAATATCAACTGGCCACCAGGTTCTGAACGCTCACAGGATTTAACTGTTGTTTATTACTGTTTGCCATCTAGTTTTGTGGGTTTTCCATTAGAACCTCAGCCCAACACGGCTCCACGGGTCCTGGCACAACTCGGTTTATCTGGTTTTCCATTACAAATGAGGTCCTAATGATACACCTCATGGCAACACTATACTAGCTGAACTGCGATGTTGGTTCATGTATCAGCCATTTAAAACGTTGGAAATAACATGATTATTTTGTAATTGGAGGGTTCACATGAAGGAATCACTACTGAATCATGCCCCCCCGATATACTTGTAACTGTTAGTGGGGCCAGGCCCTAATAGAAATGCAAAAAACTGTATAGAGTTGTGCCAAGCTGCACTAAGTGGATTCTAGTGGGCAAACCCTCAACCCCTTTGTTTTAAAGCTTTAAAACGATCATCAATAAGGATAACACTTAATTCCAAAGTTTACATTTGTTTTAGTATGTATTCATATTTACACCCTGTAAATATTTTTGCTTTACAAAATGCAGAGTTTTGTCCTGGGGTACCATGGAAGGGCCTCCAGAACATCGACCCTGAGACTGACCCTAACGTGACCCCGGGCAGCGTCCCGAGCGGGCCCACCATCAACACCAACATCCAGGATGTCAACCGCTACCTGCTGCGGGACAGGAGTGGTGGTAAGATCACAGAGAAATATTTAGACGAGTAAAGCATCTGATGTGGGCTTCTTTTGATGAGAAGGAGAGACACGTCACACAGAGGCATTTTCCACACGGTGGGGGGATATTCCACTGAACATTTTGTGTCCCAGTGTTTTTCAAAGCATACTGAAACAGAGTCTACCATCTGCTGCTATCACAAATCCTGCTTCTTATCATTTTTGTTCTTCATTTTCCTACTTTTAACTGTGTAGATATTCATTTTCACTACCAGTTTATACTCTACTAAACAATCTTACTGTCGTCATTTGTTGTTTTTGTGTTTTTTCTTTACTCCATTTTCTCTCTTGCTACTTTTTCCTTATTTGTTTTCGTTTGTTTGTTTGTCTTATTTGTTTGTGTTGATGGCATCGGCTTAGGCTCCTCTCCCACATCATCTCAGAATGAGGCTCTGCCTCCGTCCACTGATTGGCCAGTCAGTGCCTACACTAGCTCGTTCAGTCTTTCATCCCCGGAGATGGACGACACAGGTACACGGTTTATCCATAACCCTCTCCCTCCGCAGTGTATGGACTGAATAACTGCAGATCAGCATCCCCCCCCCCCCCCCCCCCCCCCGTCCCTAGAAAAAAAAAACCCCACCCCCCCCCCCCCCCCCCCCCTTCACCTTGTGGCTGTAAAACCAGAGCCCCAAACATTCACAGGAAAGGCTTGTTTCTCCCACATCATTCCCTTACTGAACATGACCTTTATTTAATCTCTCATGTTCGATTCCTGTCTCATGGAGTTCATATTTCCTCTGCAGTGTTACCATATTGTTGTTTTTTTTGTGCCTGAACGTTTGGCACAGAGGGAAGTGTTAGTTGTTTTCCTGAGTCTTCCTCACCCATGTGTTTTAGTAAAGTCTCTCTGTTGGTGTCTCAAACAAACCTCATATACACCTGTGATGGACGGTGTACATTTCGGGGTCCAATTCAGTCTGTCAAAATGTTATGTATGTTATTAAGTAAAGTTTAAAAGGAAGCGAGGAAAGATTTGGATGTGTGTGAGATGTCTTAATTTTACATCTTTTTCTTAGTTAGATATTTCACATTTTGAGGGGTATATTTGTATGATCTGTAAAACGTTCCATCAAACAATTGGTCTGTTTTGGACACTGTTATACCGAACTTGATTCAGCCCCCCACCCCCACCCCAAGACCTTGCCAGCTATCTGGTTCTGCAGAAAAAAACATCCCTTTGCATGTCTTTTCCGTCCAGGTAAACTGTCAGAGATGAAATCGACCTGGTCGCCAGGCCCCATCTCTCACAGCCAGGCTTCTTTGTCCCATGAGCTCTGGAAGGTCCCACAGGGCCCGAGGAGCAGCTCCACAGCTCCATCCCGCCCCCCGCCGGGCCTCACCAACACAAAGCCTTCTTCCACCTGGGGGGGCAACTCTCTGGGTCTGGCCCAGGGCTGGAGCAGCTCTTACACCACAGGTAATGTTGCAGTGACGCATTTCTTCAACCGATTATTACGATGAATTACTAAATGCTGGCATTGTGATGAGTGACATCACATAGATACAAAAATGTTTAAGTAACATCATGAGGGAGATATTTCCTGGTTCAAAGTGTTTTAAAAATATTTTAATGGTAAGGGTCTCGATATAACATTCCTGTTTATTCCTCAGGAATGGGGCTGAAAATTATTCTTGCTCTAGTGTGAACTGTGTCAAAAAGCTCCGTTCGGTGGCTGTGGACTGCGTTTCAGTACAGTTATGAATTTTAAAGTGAAAGAACAATTACAGCCGCAAAACGGCTGTGAACTCACAGTATAGACAGGATAAAGGCGTCTTCAGATCCTGTGGTTTAACAGCTGCCTGTGAGCGACTCCGCCCTCTCAGGGCTGCTAACTGTCTCCAGCTCCAGATGAGCTTTTGACTCCTGTCCTTCTCTTCTTCCACAGCAGGTACCACTTGGAGTACAGACAGCTCCTCCAGGACCAGTAGTTGGCTGGTTCTGAGGAACCTCACTCCACAGGTGGGCTTTCCACACAGCTGCTTCTCCAGGTTCCACAGATAGCTGTGTGTGTATTTTTCGGGTATGATGCTGGTCTGACTTGTTCCATTTTCCAGATTGATGGTTCGACTTTGCGTACGCTGTGCATGCAGCACGGCCCCCTCATCACATTCCACCTCAACCTGACACAGGGAAACGCTGTGGTGCGCTACAGCTCCAAGGATGAAGCTGCCAAAGCTCAGAAGTCCCTGCACATGTACGTTCAAAGTTTGAAGCCATCAAGCTGAGTCTGTCTTTAAGGCCGTTTCGACAACTGATTGTCTGCATGTCTCTTTCTGTGTCTGCTCAGGTGCGTGCTCGGGAACACCACCATCCTTGCAGAGTTTGCAGGGGAAGAGGAAGTGAACCGCTTCTTTGCACAAGGCCAGTCGCTTGGCGGAACCACCAGCTGGCAGGCCACTCCCGGCACCAATCAGACGAGGATGGGCGTGTCTGGGTCCGGGGCCTCCCATCCCATTGGCCACTCACCCCACTGGAACAACAACAACAACAGTGCCAGCAGCAGCAGTAGCAGCGGCCTTGGAGCAGGTGGAACGAAAACTGGGGGGGAGTTGCTTTGGGGCGGCGTTCAGCAGTATTCCAGCCTGTGGGGCCCCCCCACTGGAGAGGAGGGACGGGTCATGGGGAGCCCCACGCCAATCAATACGCTGCTGCCTGGTGACCTGCTGAGTGGAGAGTCCATGTAGGAAAAAAACAAAAAAAACAAACACAAAAAGGTGCAAAACCCTTTGCAAATCAGTGTGGAGATAATCAGTGTGGTTGTGAAGTGGATGAGGAAAGACGGGAGGAGGACGAGGCTACATCTTCGCTGCTCGCCTCGTCAGCCTCCTCTTCTCATTTTGTGTTTAAAGACCTTTCAGTTGCAGTTCTTTTGTGAATCTCAGTAAGAGGTTTTGGTCACAGTGTTCAGCTTTTGCTTCTGGAGACACAGGAAGGAGCCTTTCATTCATTGAAATAAGAGAAACTTTACAGGAATGAACTCTGAAGTCACCGTGTGACACGTACTTTGGTCAAAGTGACACGGGACGAGCTGCCATCTTTAAACTTGCGTAACCCCTCACTGCCTTTTGAGGCAATCATACTGCACCTCAGAGATCCATGAAAAGGCATCATTCCCAAAGTAAAAACCCTTCAATCAGAGTGGTGGTTGAACTTTCACCTGGTCCAGACTCGACATTTGTTTCTCTCAGCACTAATATTAGCCTTAAACTATTTCCTGCCCTGCTATCCTCACTCACTCTGTACTCGGTGAAGAAGCATACGGACACTTGCACACCCTTATTTCTGAGCCAGTGAAACCTGAGTGGAAAGTACATGCTGCTGCGGCTTAACACAAGCACCCACAGCTCACAACTTCAGTGCATTTTTTTGCAGGCAGATTGAGTTCCCCACACAACGCTCAAAGGGAATGATGCAACTCTATTCGCCTTGTTCAAGCCATTTATTTTTCTAGTCCTTTTTTGTTTTGTTATTTTTAACCATTGCAAACAAAGCTAAAAAGTTATATTATCCAAACATGTCTGTCAATCCTGTCTGGTGGGGGGGGGGGGGGGGATTTGGAGTTTGGGGGTCGTTGCGTGTACAGTTGATACGATGGACGACTAAATGAACCACTGCTATTACTACGAACTGTAAAGACGAACACTTCAATGCACCTCACCTCAGTTTGGTCTCAGCCTCCGACGCTCTCACAGACCTGGCGGGAAAACCTCAGCTCGTGCCCTCCCCTCCTGCAACCGCCGCGCGCCCACTCCACCTGCAAACACACCATTTCAAGTGACGTGCAATATAAGCCTCAGACTCTACCGTCCAAGCATCCGACGACAGAGAGCAGACTGTGAGGAACGTCAACACCCCTATCTGCCCACGAAATACAAACTGCCACTACTTCCCCTTCCCTCAGAGAGAGTGTGAACTCAGGAGAGTAGCAAGCTGGTCTTCGACCATCTTCTGTCCGAGAAACGAGGATGCACATACAAAGCACTTCTTCAGCCAGCCGCCTCTCCACACTTATGCCAGAGACTGAGTTTGAAGAGAGGGAGGGGCGTGTGTGTGTGTCTGTGTGTGTGTGTGTGTGTGTGTGTGTGTGTGTGTGTGTGTGTGTGT